GGGTATTATTATTTCAGGAAATCTGTTATTATTCAGCAGCAGAACTGAATTCTAGGAAAACTTTCCTAAAGATCTGTTTTTCCCCTTTGTATAGGTTTTAATTCCATGTGGAAAACAAACATTCTCCTCTAGGTCTAGAGCAGGAAATCTGTTACCATTCAGCAGAACTGAATTCTAGGAAAATCTTCATTTCTCAGCTCCCTCCTATACAGAGATTACCTGGTACCTTTCCCTTTTTCCATCACCTCATGGGTACTATTATTTCAGGAAATCTGTTACCATTCAGCAGCAGCAGAACTGAGTCCTAGGAAAACTTTCCTAAACATGATTTTTTCCCTCTGTGTAGGTTATAATTCCAGATGGAAAATAATTAAACATTCTCCTCTAGGGCTAGAGCAGGAAATCTGTTATTACTCAGCCACAGCAGCTGAGTTCTAGGAAAGCTTTCCTAAAGATCTGGTTTTTCCCTCTGTACAGGAGATGGAACACAATTAAACACTCTCACACAGTGTGGAACTGTGAGTAAGTTCTGGTTTTTGTCACTGTGGGCACAATTTCAGAGTTCAGCAGGTCACTCACCCTTCTTTCCCCTGACACCACCGCAGTAGGAAATGGCTGGGAAAGTTGACAGGCTCCAGTTTGACTCCCAGCTGCCTGGCAATTGTTAAATAAAGCACAGACAAACTGATGGGAATTCCTGTCCTGCGGATCAAAACCTGGGGGAGAAAAATGGGACAAAAACACAGGCAGGATTTAAGAAAAACACGAATTTCAAAGGTTGATCTCACAACTGAAAATGCAACTTGACAGAATATGCACTGAAGGGTAACATATTTATTTAAGAGTTGTTCTTCACAGAGAATGACTTGTCTGGCTACATTCAGACAAATAAAGTGTCTCAAGCCTTGCAGCCTCCCAGTTTTTGCCTGACACACACATACCTGGTGAATGTAGGAATTCAGGGAATTGTAGTAATCCAGCTCATTTCCTTTGTATTTCAGCTGTTCATACAGGACACAGTTCATGGCATCGAGCACCTGCCTCTGAAGTTCCACTTCTGGAATGAGAACCTCTCCTGCAAACACATGCAGTGAAATAAAGACTGAGAAAACAAGAGCACTCGACCTTTATGCAATGAAATCTTCACATGGGCAGGCTCAGTCTCTCCTTGGAAGCCAGAAATTACTCAGTGTTTGTAAAACCATGGAGCAAGATGCTGCCTGACCTTTGGAGATGATAAACATGCACCTTTCTACTGATTATTTTCTGAGATTGGCAGGAAAGAGGTTGTTTCCCAGTCCCACAGCTCAGCTGTAGATAACAGGACTAATAAGATTCCAGAGACAAATGGGAAAAAAAAATAGAATTCCCCTCCCAATTCTTTCAGCATCAGATGGACTGAACCCTGGGCTATTGAACAGCTGTTTCTTGAATGATGGCTTCAGTAAATGTGGGATCTCAGCACCTCAG